ATATGTTCACATACTTTTATAATTCCTAATATATAATATACAAAGGGTGGCTAAAAAGTATAGGATGCCATGTTTTTGTGTGTAAAAGCCAAGACTCGGTCAGGAAACCGACTTCATCCATAGATAGTTTGGCTATTTGATCACTTGTGCAGAAATTCTTTGGATTTGAAAACTGTGCTTTGACAGAGGCCTTCTGACGTCCAACGACAAAATCAGCAGTGCGCCGCAGGTAGCCAACGGCGATGTCGTCCCACCTTCTGAAGCGCTAACTTCAGAGCACCCACCGAGCTGGAGAAGTCTTATGAGGTCTTGCTCTACAACATCCTTACATAGAGGAGTCCATCGGGAAAAGGCCTAAGAGGAAGAAGGTCACAATTCCTTGCTCTATTGTCCCGGGAAGTGAGCGACCAGGATGGCTTTCGTCGATTTTAACGCGTGTTATTAAGCCCACATTGAAGAACAAACAAGCGTTGAGGAAAATGCTCGTGAATCCAGAACAACATACCGTACCTCATCAAAGTCGCAAGGTCTTCGACTTAATTTCTAACATTTGTGGAAGATGAACTCCAATGGAGCTGCACTTTTGGATGTTACCCAATCACAAACTACCACACCTTTGGGAGAAAGTCTGTGATAGACTAGTCGTTATCTAAGGGACGTGCTCCCTCTTTTTGGCAACAACTGCCTATGTCTGTGGTAGACTAGTCGTTATCTAAGGGGCGTGCTCTCTCTTTTTGGCAACAACTGCCTATGACTTTGGCGGTCACAAAGAAGTTCACTTCGAAAATTTTCTCATTAACTCAATCGTGAGAGAGAAGCGGCACACCTTGAGCTCGTGCAGAAAAAAAAAAAAAAAAAAAAAAAAAAAAAAAAAAAAAAAAAAAAAAAAAAAAAAAAATAATAAAAAAAATTAAATTCATAATTTAGAATCTATTCGGGTTGCTTCAATAAAATTCAACATAGAAAGAATCGGTAACCTCTTCGAATATTCATTGCTCCCCAAGATTTCCTAGAAGGAGTGACAGCAGCAATTCGTGAGATCAAAAGCGATGTGACCCACGCTGGCTGCATCGCTGTGAACCATCCTTTTTCAAATGATTGCCTCATTCCTCTGAGTGTGGACAATTCTGATCTTCCAGTTATCGCAATCCCAGAGACGTGTGCGTAAACGTTGAGCGCACCGAAAATGTTCCAAAGAGTTGAAGAGGGAATATCGAGTCGTTTTCCAAAGTTGCAATTTCCTACTCCTAAATACTCCACGGCTTAGTGCCAGCAGATAGTCAGATCCGCGTCCTATGCTTTTCGAAAAAAAAAGAAAATCACACAAATAATGCCTCAATTTGCAAAATCCTCGGATAAATCAAAAGTATAGACAAGGAAAAACAACGGTGAGAGTACACCTCCATGGGGCACACCACTATAGGTGCGGAAAACCGAGGAGAAATCATTGCGAATCCGAACTCGATACTGACGATCAACCATCTCATTTTGAATTCACTGCCAACCAAATGAGTTTGCAGACTAGTTAATTGAGTGCAACGTTACCAAACGCTTTTAAAAATTTAAAATAGATCACATGAGTCGGTTGCTTCAATTCACAGATTCTGTCCAGTAATGGAGGCACGATAGTAACGCTGTTTCTCTAGATCTTCTAGGCCAAAGACCGTGTTGATACCGTGGTATAACGTCATTTTCCTCAAGGTGTTAAGGTGTTTTAGAAGATGCCTTCCACTTTCTCGAAAGCTTTAGCGAAGACTGATGTAGGCTTATAGGACGATAGATTTCCGGACATGAAAAGGTGCTTTCCTAGGTATGGGCGTCATAAATGACGTTTTCCATCGACTCAGCACTTCGCCTCCAATAAAGGAAAGATCAAAGAGAGATCCCAGTAGGAAATCTATTGCAGACAAAAGCTTTTTCATAAATGTCAGAGGAAAAGTATGCGGAGATAAGGACTTTGAACTAGGCCAGTGACTCAGCAATTCCATTATCTCTTCATTACAGAATCACGCAGTGGGCGATTTCCGAAAAAAATTGGGTTATTCAGAGGGAGAAAGTTGAAGGCTGGAAGGGGGGGCGGTTGGTCCAGATGGGGTGCCAATCGAGGCATGGAAGGCGCTCGGAGAGTACGGCATAAGGTGGCTCACCAGCTTCCTGAACAAGGTAACAGTGGAAGGAAAGATGCCGGATGCATGGAGGACAAGTACCATCGTCCCCATCTTCAAACAGAAGGGCGACGCGATGGACTGCTCCAACTACCGCGGGATCAAGTTGACTGCGCATACCATGAAGCTGTACGAGCGCAGTCACGTAGGCTAGCTTCCGAGATTGCTAGAGCGAATGGTTATGGAACGAGGAACGAAGAATCAGGCTCCCAGAGAAATCCCACGAGAAGATTCACGAGGGCGTTCCGCGAGGAGTCGCGAAGAGATGGCGCACCTCCAGTTGCCTTTCATATCGGATAGAATTAGCATGGCTATACGGCAGTGCATTGCACGGGCGGATCTAGCTGATGAAGTCGTTTTGATTAATATACCAGGAGACAATCTTAAGCGTCAGCTAATCCGCAACAGACTCTATGACCGCGCGTGCACCACGAATCACTGCGTTGTTTGCCCATATGGAAGGCAAGGAGACTGTGCGCAACGAGGGATGGTTTACCAAGCTTTAATGTTAACCTGTGACGAACTTTATATTGGTGAGACGGGCAGGATGCTAGGCGTGCGCATTAAAGAACATATGGCAGGAAAAAGGTCGCGGGAATCTACTTACTTGGACAAGCACCGAGTAGAAGGACATCAGGGTAATGATTTTGAAATCAAATGCAAAATTCTAGCCTACGAAAACGACATCGGTGCTAGAAAAATGTTAGAGGCGTTTTATATCCGCGTGAAAAATCCAAGACTGAACAACCGTAATGAATGCATGGCCATTACCAATGAATTCTTGCCTTTCATTCCTTTATGTGGACTGTGAGATCACCACATACGACACGTAGGACGCTTACTGTCCATGGTGTCTCATTTTATTTGCTCACTAACAAGAGGTGGCTGGACTCACCACAGGTTAGTTCGTTTGCTGGGGTCGTTCAATTTGACTATTTCGGTTTTCCGGGAACTTAATAAGATTAGGCGCTTTACCGGGTGAGCTACAGAGCTAGGAATTCGAACCAGTTTCAGGTCCTGAAGACGACGTATTGTCGAAACGTTGACCAATAAACCGTGTTCCACCATAACAACCTGTATGGCACACAAGAAGAAACAACACAGTATCCGAAATGCTCAGGTTCCAGGAAAACCGAACATGGAATTTTTTAAGATTTATAGCAGATATGAAGGATCTGTGGTTACTCTTCGTTTGAGTGCAACATCAAATAGCCTCCATGGCGCTCTACAGTCCATCTCGATGTCTGATTGGGCGTGTCACCGGGAAATGACGTGGCAACCACTGCACCTGATAGAAGTTGTGCGGACAAGCTGCTTCCAGCATGCTTTGCTGATATCTGGCGAAGTATTTTATCCACATGACATCTGTCCAGTGACACGCCCAATCCGGCTTCGAGATGTGGACTGTACAATCGAGATCCGAGGCACCAGTACGTTTTGCATCCGTATTCAAAAAGATTTAATAACACTTTGCTCAATTCAAACCGAATGCTCCCAACTTAAAATTGAGGAACGCATTTCATTCAATAAGAAAAACTTCATTGTGGCCATCTACGTGGACGGCATCAGAAAAATTCGCCCCAGAAACATGGTGCATTGGTCGATTTCAATGGAGTCCTGAACGGATCCTGTACCATCACCACGGTTTTTGAAAGGCGGGTTCCGCGAGGGTTTGCATACTCAGAGCTAATGTCCATAGATAACTACCCATCATTGAAATGGATGAAATTATGTAAGAGCTTCAGGCTAAAGCAGTTACGGTAGACCTCCTTGAGCTCGACGACGATGACAGATGACGTCATATTCTGAAGATGGTGAGATCAGTGAGGGGGCCTGCATCTACTTATAGAAGGAGATTCAAGGAACAGTTTGCCAAGAGACTTCCGGCGACAATCTCTGCGAACAAAAAAAGGCGCGACATGGGCAACATATTTTTTGGCCACCCCCCTCTGGAAAACAGCGGTCCAAAGTTCGACAGACAATTTTCAGCCATAACTTCCTTTCATTGAATTAAGTGAGAGATTAAAGAATCAATTGGATAGGAAGGTTTGGTATAATTTCCTGTGACGTATTACGAACCATTGCGTGTTCTTTCGGTGGAAAGCTGTAGAATCCGCATTATAGCGCGAAGGTTCCTTTTGGGCGGCAGCAATTTCGCCTGATATCGAGGATAGCGTTATTCGTGTTTTTGCATCTTGCTCGTAATTTTCAAATACATTTCCTTCGTACAACATTGCTAATCACATTCTTAAAACATGGTCAGGAAAACATAACCTCGCAAGGATTGTGGAAGTAATGCGAGCGCGGACGCGTCTAGCCTGAAATTTGCTGTCAATTTGAGAGAATCAGAGTTTTCACATCGAACAATCACCGAACTGGCAGTGTGGCCAGGTCAGAGATTAGCATGTCTAATGTTCAGAGAATGGATATACCGTGGTGGATATACCGTGGTGATTCGAGCAAGACGAGGTATGACCACTTCTTTGATGCCAGCCTTCATCTCGCTGTGATCGACTTTGTCCTGTCCACTCCAAGGTCTTGGAAGAGCTTCAACGTGGCTGGAAGAGTGCTGCAACAATACTGGAGAACTCAGACCGAATGAATAGCATATGTAGTCAAATACTCAGGGAACTAGAGTGGCTTCTGCGCGTCGTCGAGATAGGTTTCGATTGACTTGAACAGGACTTTTTAAGGAACAGAGGAATGTTCTACTTGTTTTTAATGTTGCGTTGTTAGGAACTCCTGCAACACTTTGGATAAACATTGTTTAGAAGAAAAAACCCAGATTATTTTAAGTGTTTTGACGCTCATGCAGTGTCTCCTGGGCGTGTTCGAAAGAAAAGTGCAAAGAATTTCCCCACATTGTTTTTCTTCAAACTCTTATCAGAATCGAGCTATCTAAAGGTGGATAAAGTTGGTATCTATGCTGTATTCAAGAGAGAATTCATTACCAGGCCATTAGTCCCATTGAGGGTGAATAGTGGCCGAGAAATTCCCTCAAGCACGACTCTCTACTGGCGAGGGTAATGTCGCGAGGGAATGTACGCGTGCAGAGGACAGACGGCTCGTGGCTGGTGAGAGTGAATGTGGGCTCGGGAAAGAGCAATTGAAGAAGCGAAATTCCTCTACGAGCTCGACCGATTTTCACCCTGATCACAGATTATTTGGAGATTTCTTGTTGCCTTAATTCCTGTCTTCTGAGCGAGACAAAAACCGAGCTCCCACTCCCCACTCCTTCTTTCGATGTGGATGACGACCCATGATGATATCAATGGTGGGCGCAAAATTATGTGATAATTGCCACACACAGGTACGCATAGCTGCGGGTAGGAGGATATGGAGCATTCGTGGACGGATTTTGCTCACGACTTTAGCCAATTCCTAAACAAATGTACAGGGTGGCCGAAAAGTATAGGACGCCTATGTTTTTGTGTGTAAAAGCCAAGAAAGAGACTCGATCAGGAAACCGACTTCACACAAAGATAGAGTTAAGCTATTTGATCACTTGTGCAGAAGGTGCTTTGAATTTGACGACTCTGCTTTGAGAGAGGCCTTCTGACGTCCAACGACAAAATCAGCAGTGCGCCGCAGGTAGCCAACGGCGATGTCGTCCCACCTCTTCTGAAGCGCTAACTTCAGAGCACCCACCGAGCTGGAGAAGTATTACAAGGTCTTGCTCTACAACATCCTCATATAGAGTAGTCCATCGGGTTAAGGGTCTGAGAAGAAGAAGGTCACAATTCCTTGCTCCAGTGGCCCGGGAAGTGAGCGCCCAGGATGGCTTTGGTCGATTTGAACGCGTATTAGGGAGCCCAGCTTCATTGAAGAGCAAACGATCATTGAGCAAAATGCTCGTGAATCCAGAACAACATACCGTACCTCATTAAGGTCTTTTGCAAGACCTTCGACTTAATTCAACATTTGTGGAAGATGAACTTCAATGGAGCTGCACTTTTGGATGTTACCCCATCACAAACTACCACACCCTCAGGAGAAAGTTGTTGTAAACCAGGCGTTATCTCGGAGACTCGCTCTTACTTTTTGGCAACAACTGCCTCTGAATTTGGTGGTTGAAAAGAAGTTTCCTCCGAAAATTTTCTCGTTAACCCAATCCGAGAGAGAGATGCGGCGCACCTTGAGCTCGTGCAGAAACTTTTTGCATTTTATCAGTTGAATCTATTCGGGTTGCTCCAATAAAAACCAGCATAGAAGAGTCGGTAACCCTTCAAATAATGATGGCCTCTCAAGCTCTTCTGGAAGGAGTGACGGCAGATCCTGAGATCAAAAGCGATGTGACCCACGCTGGCTTCATCGTTGTGAGCTATCCTCTTCTAAGTGATGCCCCAATACTCTGAGTGTGCACAGTTCTTCAATTTCCACTTTTTGCAATCCCACAGACTTGTACTCAAACCTTTGGAGCACAGAACATTTTTTTTAACACGTTGACGACATCGCATGTTTTGGCATTTTGCACCTCGTGGGACAGGAGCGATTTTGCGACCGCGCCGTCCTCACCTTACTTCCGCTTATTTTTTGTTAAAAATGCACAATAACTTGAATTTCATAGGACTATTTCGGCAAGGACGATCGCACAAAGGTTAAGTATATAAGTAGCAAAAGGTTTTCGTTTAGAAGAGCGCATAATAACCACGAAGAAGTAAAAAAACATCACTTTCGCTGCGAATGAAATTAAAAGCATTTATATCTAAGTACTCCCATCAAATCAAATATATTGAAACTCACAGAGTTTTGTTTCAACTAACTCTAAAATCTTTCATAAGAATATTGACGGCAGTGAAAGTATTATTAAGAAAGAATCGGAACGAAAGTTTTGTGCGTCGGAAAATCTTTGCTTAATCAAAAGATACTTGACCACTCTAGCTGCCAAGCGGTTTATAGTCATGCTAATGTATTATCTATAGAATGAATACAAGAAACCCGAGAGGAAGGAGCGCAAGCACGATAAAAGTGAGTAGCATAGACTTGACGCGCTTGCGCGTCAGAATGTCCGATGCGGTGCGAAATTCTTGACGCGCATGCGCGTCAGCTTGTCGTCAACGTGTTAATTGTTCAAGAGGGAATACCGAGTCGCTTCCCGAAGTTGCAATTTTAAAGACAGTCATTGGTGTGCCTCTTGGCAATGGGTCGATGCAAACAAATCTTTATGGCGAGAGTTCAGATGAACTTTGGACCAAACAACTAATGGTGCTTCTTACATAGTTTCAAAGCTTTCGAATAGATTTGAAACTTTCTAAAAATACTCCGCGGCTTAATGCCAGCAAGCGGTCAGAGCCGCGTCCTATACTTTTCGGCCACCCTGTAATTAGAGTGTGTATGTCCATCACCGCGGTACATCAACTCCCCTCATTTCGCAGCTCCGTCAAGCACTTTGAAAAGTCTTCCTTTTTGCCAGTGAGCGTCTTTTTTGCTGAATGAAGTCGCCCAGCGAATACGTGTATGCTTCATCTAAGCTTTCAGCCACAGTCGAAAGCCAGTTTTGCCTAGAGATTCGTCTGATGCAAATGAATAGGAGTCAGCCATAAACATTCTGTTTGCCTTGCTAAGCTTGTGCAACCATATGACACCTTGCGTACCTTGTGTTCTACAATATTAACATGATCGCATTATCATTGAGGTTTGACTGCTCATTCTCTTTTGTAGCTAGCTCCAATAGAGGTTACGAAGTTCACTTACTCATTTTTATATTTCTATTTTTATATCCAACCAATATTACTTTCCATTTTGTTTGTCTTTCGGCTGATCTTGAGCGTTTACAGGATATGATTACATACCGAGCCCACGCTGCCGTCTTCTGCTGCCGTATAAATAGCGCGTATGGATAAGCTAGAGCTTGCTTGCCTTCTTCCGTCGATCAAAGCTTGGACGATAAGAAGGCAAGCAAGCTAGCTTATCCATACGCGCTATATTTATACGGCAGCAGAAGACGGCAGCGTGGGCTCGGTATGTAATCATATCCTGTAAACGCTCAAGATCAGCCGAAAGACAAACAAAATGGAAAGTAATATTGGTTGGATATAAAAATAGAAATATAAAAATGAGTAAGTGAACTTCGTAACCTCTATTGGAGCTAGCTACAAAAGAGAATGAGCAGTCAAACCTCAATGATAATGCGATCATGTTAATATTGTAGAACACAAGGTACGCAAGGTGTCATATGGTTGCACAAGCTTAGCAAGGCAAACAGAATGTTTATGGCTGACTCCTATTCATTTGCATCAGACGAATCTCTAGGCAAAACTGGCTTTCGACTGTGGCTGAAAGCTTAGATGAAGCATACACGTATTCGCTGGGCGACTTCATTCAGCAAAAAAGACGCTCACTGGCAAAAAAGGAAGACTTTTCAAAGTGCTTGACGGAGCTGCGAAATGAGGGGAGTTGATGTACCGCGGTGATGGACATACACACTCTAATTACAGGGTGGCCGAAAAGTATAGGACGCGGCTCTGACCGCTTGCTGGCATTAAGCCGCGGAGTATTTTTAGAAAGTTTCAAATCTATTTTCGAAAGCTTTGAAACTATGTAAGAAGCACCATTAGTTGTTTGGTCCAAAGTTCATCTGAACTCTCGCCATAAAGATTTGTTTGCATCGACCCATTGCCAAGAGGCACACCAATGACTGTCTTTAAAATTGCAACTTCGGGAAGCGACTCGGTATTCCCTCTTGAACAATTAACACGTTGACGACAAGCTGACGCGCATGCGCGTCAAGAATTTCGCACCGCATCGGACATTCTGACGCGCAAGCGCGTCAAGTCTATGCTACTCACTTTTATCGTGCTTGCGCTCCTTTCCTCTCGGGTTTCTTGTATTCATTCTATAGATAATACATTAGCATGACTATAAACCGCTTGGCAGCTAGAGTGGTCAAGTATCTTTTGATTAAGCAAAGATTTTCCGAACGCACAAAACTTTCGTTCCGATTCTTTCTTAATAATACTTTCACTGCCGTCAATATTCTTATGAAAGATTTTAGAGTTAGTTGAAACAAAACTCTGTGAGTTTCAATATATTTGATTTGATGGGAGTACTTAGATATAAATGCTTTTAATTTCATTCGCAGCGAAAGTGATGTTTTTTTACTTCTTCGTGGTTATTATGCGCTCTTCTAAACGAAAACCTTTTGCTACTTATATACTTAACCTTTGTGCGATCGTCCTTGCCGAAATAGTCCTATGAAATTCAAGTTATTGTGCATTTTTAACAAAAAATAAGCGTAAGTAAGGTGAGGACGGCGCGGTCGCAAAATCGCTCCTGTCCCACGAGGTGCAAAATGCCAAAACATGCGATGTCGTCAACGTGTTAAAAAAAAATGTTCTGTGCTCCAAAGGTTTGAGTACAAGTCTGTGGGATTGCAAAAAGTGGAAATTGAAGAACTGTGCACACTCAGAGTATTGGGGCATTCACTTAGAAGAGGATAGCTCACAACTGTGAACCGCGCCGTCCTCACCTTACTTCCGCTTATTTTTTGTTAAAAATGCACAATAACTTGAATTTCATAGGACTATTTCGGCAAGGATGAATCGCATAAAGGTTAACTATATAAGTAGCAGTAGGTTTTT